TGTGAGTGTACCCATGTCATGCAATGCCAAGGAGGTCAGAAGAGGGCTTTGGATTCCCCTGGAACTGGAGTTAAGGATGGTTTGTAGTAGCCTTGTGGGTGCTGGGAATTGAACCCGAGTCCTCTGCAAGAGCAGTCAGTGCTCTTAACTGCTGAGCCATCTCTCTAGCCTGCTTTTTGTAATTTTTATGCTCAGAGTTTGTTTAGATTATTATTTATTTGAGATAGGATCTTGCTGTCCAGTTAGCTCAAGCTGACCATGAACTCACTGTATAGCCCAACCTGGCCTTGAATTCATAATCCTCCTGTGTACTAGACTTACAGGTATGCACCACCATGCATGGCACTTGGTTTAGATTTTAGACTGTAAAATGTTAATGCCCATTTTCTTCATTGATTTATAGCCTCCTTATGTTTTCTAAGAAAATTAATTCTTGACTCGGAGGTCAGGACCGAAGTCTTTTAACCCTAACCAATAGGGTGTGGTAACACAAACTCTTCAGAGTCATGTGTCTGTTTCCATCATGACTCAGTGCTCTTCAGTGGTTTGTTAATCAGGGAGCATGTCCTAATTTGCTTTCTGTTCCTGTGATAAACACCAAAACCAGTATGAGGATGAAAAGGTTTATTTTATCTTACAGGAAGCTAAGGCAGGAACTCAAGGCAGGAACCTAGAGCAGAAACTGAATCAGGATCATTGAGGAATGCTGCTTATTGACTTGCTCTCTGGCTCACATTCAGTTACCTTTCTTATACTGCCCAGGCTGGCCTGCCTAGGCATGGTACCACCCGCAGTGGGCTGGCCCCTCCTACATCAGCTAGCAATCAGGAAAATGCCCGCCCAGAGATAGTCTGATGGAGGCAGTTCTTCAGTTGAGGTTCCTTCTTCCCAGGTGTGTCAGCCATCACAGAGCGACAAATGTCTCTATCATTTTTGTTGGTTTTGTTCCTAGGTATAGGAGGAGAAGTTTTTCTTGTGCTTTTTTTGAAAATATTTAAACACCCAGAAAGAATTATCTTTTATATATATATGTATATATATATATATATATATATATATATATTAGTTTTTAAAAATACTTGCCCTAGTCCTACTTTTTTGCTTTTACATGATTCTTATTTCTCAATAAAGTGTTGCACATCCACTATGTGAAGCAATAGTATCTTTCTTC